TTGAAAAGCCACTTTTTCTTTCGACGGAAAAATCGCGATGGCGCTCTTCTAAGCAGTTGCCCGCATGACACCATATGAAATCGTCACATGTATTTGGCTCATAGGAAGACGAGTCAAATTGAAGAAGTGCCCAGACGCATAAAAGAGCGAATGAGCCCGAATAAAACGCGAAGACTCTGCCACATAACTTGCAGTGGCAGCCAATAGTTTCCATTTTAATCTTTATGGTATCTTTGTGATCCTAATAAAATTTTATTGGTAGTTTAATGACACTGAATATTTGTAATTGCTATACAGCGTCCCATTCAAAGCAAATATTTCATATCCCGATAATCGACCACTCACAAGGTCCCTTATTAACTTACTTAAGAAGACAGAAGCGAAAAAGCCATGCTCTACGTTTTTCTCAGTCTATCGTGCCCCCCTACCATTCGAGAGCTTTCTGCAGCTAACATGGTTATGCACTGGCTCCAAGATAGAGGCACTTCGCCTGACTTCGCATTGCCTCCGTGATCAGACCACATTTAACCACGCTACACTGTAATAGATTGACTTCGCGTCACTTGATGTCACAGTAGCGTCATGATGAAGTCACACAATTTTTCAGTCTCTACTTCATCTCACCACCCGTTATACAATTATTTTAAGCATCACTCCTCCCCGATGCCGCGTGCCGTCGTCGTTCACACTTCGCGTTTGATGAGGCATTTAAGATATTCACCCTGATATTTGATTTTCTTTTTTTTTCAATTAAACTTTATTATACAAGTAGTACAACTGTTGGGGTGTCACGTCCGATAATGAGGATATTATGGCTACAATGGCTGAGTAAAAGGCTCCGAAAATTTAACTACTGGAATATATAGGGTACACTGACTCAAATACGCGTATTCTTAGCATTACTGACATCGTGAAAAAGGCGGGTGCTGCTGCCGAAATCTGATCCTGCGTTCTTCAAATCAGCAGTCCAGCTCCATAACCATGTAGAGAAGCGCAGTTCGTTACCAAAAACATCCCAATCATGCAAACAGGTTGGAGATCGTCATGCTATCGACACTATGTGTGACGGGATATTTTGTAACTCCAGGTATAGTGCAGCAATGAATAAGGCTTTCAATGTGGTGCTATGTTTCCACCTTTTGATTGTAGATCAAGCATAATTGTCATCCAGTGTCAAAACAAGCGTTCTAAATTAAGCGAAACATGAACACTGACATAAACCACTTTCTACAACGGAAGCTTTGGGAAATAAAACCTGTAAGATAAAGATACAAATCATGAAAAAAAGACAAGGGTTCACTCGAAAGCCCTTTAATATCAGTGCTGAACACTATAGCCATTTGCACTAAAGCTATAATGGGGCATGGTGCAGAATTTATACACCTAAACCAGGTGATTAAATTCCCCTGCCCCTTCTTTTCGCACCATAACGGTAGCACATGAATTGCATTGCCGCTTTTTGTTGAAACAAATATTCAAAATAAAAAAAAACATTTCAATGAGGGCACCAATGCAGCGTCGATAAATTGTTAAAAATAGGAGCTTTGTGCATAATAAAAAACAAGTGCTAAATAAATGCGTTACTGCTTGCCTTTGAAACTTTTCGTAACTTTTGGTCTTTCCGAAGTTACGAAAAGTTACCGTCATTCCCAGCAATCTAGCAAGCAAGTGCTATTCGAGAAATTCGCATAGACAGTGGTGCCACACTCCCCTCCAGGTATGTTAATCCGAAACCTTTATGGGTTCAAAACCCTTTGCTTGCATCTTGAAGATTTCTTGGTAAATTATCATACGCTAGGTGGCGGACACCCGTGGTCAACGGTGAATAGGAAGAAAATCACTTGTGTTAATGCTGTGCTTTACGAGTGAAGTCTAGCCGAGTCTACGGCAACGATGCAAAATATGTCACGGTAAGAAGCCGGATGGGGGCATAGCACAGCTGACTGCTCAGGTTTGAGATCCGGAGCGATCATTGAGCGTAAGGTTGCATCGAGGCACACGCCATCCTGCGGGTCACATGGGACATAGGAACATATGTCTGCCACAAAACTGGTGACGTGGTTCTCTAACAAAGGTTTCAGCGTGGCATCCAAGATTCCTTGGGGTGGCACTTGCTTTGCGAAACAAAAATTGATAAAAAGTAAATATGTTCGGCTAGAGGCCATGGTTGCAATGGAGTGTGATGCAGTGATGTCACGCGCAGAAAACATCCGGATTGGGCGTCACAAAATATTAACCATCAAGCACGGGAAAGGCTGTTACCGATTCAATAAATGTCAGAGCTTAAGGCGGCATCCGGAAGTAGTCGCAGGTACACAGGATGTTCGAGAAATCGGACGAGAATTTGGAAGAAGGGGAAGTTCTAGGCAGAGAGTACCGTTGGCACAGTCGATCAGGGCAGAATGCACCTATAGGAACTTCGTACTGGAGGTTAGCCCATAAGGGCAATGAAAAAGAAACATGGCGACCGGCAATGCTAACACAAGTGGTACACATTCCAGTGACGGCCACAGCTGTGCCATTGTCAGCGAGACGAAGAGCTTTGGTCGCAGCAGGCGTGAGGACTTTCTTGAGTAGGTGACACAAATGAGCACTTCTTATGTACACTTCAGTTCTGGTATTGACTAAGGTCGGGAAAGAAACACCATTCACATACACCCCAGTGAAGTTCGTATAAGTAGGAAGCGTCAACGGAGGATTTGGGTCAGTCGCAAATGGTACAGCAATATATACGTAGAGAGAGAGAGAGACAGAAAATAAAATGAGGGAAAGGCAGGGAGGTTACGCAGAAAATGGCGCATCCGGTTTGCTACCCTGCACTAGAGGAAGGGGGAATGAGGAAGAAAGATGGGAAAGAAAGCGAAGAGGGAAATAGACGAGTGCAAAAAAGGGGGGGGGGGGGGGCTGGGGTGCTATAGTCTATACAATAGGCCACTGCCACGCAAAATTTCAGTAAGGCCTCCACTGATTTTCTGTGAGCACACAAATCATATCGCCTTTCAAGCACTGATTGTTCAAACAGAGGTTTGTCGTCAAGGCGAGCTAACGCAGCAGCTAGTTGCCGTCTTTGCACGCTGTAACGAGGGCAGTGACAGAGCACGTGCTCTAAAGTTCCATCGCTGCCGCAATGACCGCAAGCAGCACCTTCTTCCATACCGATTCGGAAGGCGAAAGCTTTGGTGAAGGCGACACCAAGCCTTAGCCGGCAAATCACCGTTGTCTCGAGTCGATAGAGTCCATATACGGAGGCCGGAGTCGACGAGACGTGTCCAGTCTATGCAGTCGCATGTGCCGTAAGCACTCGGCGTTCCACAGTGATTTTAATTCTGCATTAGTGATTTTTCGGATTATCATTGCAGCATCAGTCCTCGAAAATGGTATAGATTATTCTTCACGATCGTGTGCTGATCGAGCAGCTCCATCGGCATGTTCATTGCCCCATATGCCGCAGTCACTTGGAAGCCACTGAAACGTGATTCTGTGTCCTTCGACGAATAGGTGGTGAAGCAGCTTTCTAATTTCCAGCACTAGTTGTTCATGAGGTCCCCGGCGTAAGGCGGATATCAAACACTGTAGTGCTGCCTTAGAGTCGGTGAACGCGCTCCATTTCTTGGCTTCTTGTGTTTAATGATTTTAACTGCACTACGTAGAGCAGAAAGTTCCGCAGCTGTCGATGATGTCTGGTGGGATAAACGAAACTTCACCGTTGTCGCTGTTGCAGGAAAGATCACCGACCCTCCAGACCCATCCACTTTAGTTGAAGTGTCAGTGTATAGATGAGTATGCTCACTGTACCTCTCATAGAACAAGAGAAGAGAAAGCTGCTTTAGTGCTGGAGCCGAGAGCCGGGCTTTTGACCCTGCGCCTGGAACGTACGTAGAGTGTGCTAGTAAATACATATTATACGTAGTAAAAAATAATATACGTAGAGTGTGCTAGTAAATATAAGCGTTCAATAACGGGCGCGTACATTTCAAATGAGCTAGTAGAGGTTAATCACGAGGGGATGACACACACTAATGGACACGAGGTCCAAACTCTTGTACCCTCTCGAACCTCTTAGAGAATAGTTATAGCGCTAGCCCAAGCTGCCACACCTCTTGGAGAACTTTTTGTTGAAGAATAACCACCGGGTACCGCAGCGAATTATCACCCCTGTAGTTTTAACGGAAAAAGGAAAAGACGCAAAAGAAAGGCCATTGGGCATCATAGATATGACTTGTATATCTGTATGCATAGGTACGTGACGGGTTCTTTTGTACTGGTCATAACCCCGTAACCTTACCCGCTCAGCAGTTAAACATCTGGACTCCCTTCATGCTTGCTACTTCGCCAGTGCATTTAATGCGCGTGCGAGCTCTTCGGGACCTTGCAAGATCTCCTCCATCTTTACAACAGAATTCGTGACAGTATAACTCTTCTATTCAACTTCCAAGAACAGCAAGAGAAAGCGGCATTACAGTTAAACTACCCCACTGATGAACATCTTATCTGTCGGAAAAATGACAGTCGCTCTCACGTGCTATGTGCGCACGCCGCACCACATCACTATCGCTGAGGTTATAACTGATGTCTCATCACCACCAGTATGGTCATGCACGCAAAATTCAGGGCAATAGTCTCTGTTACTTTTCTCACATTTATCCAGTATTTATAATGCCCCCCTTATCCACCCAATCTTAATTTTCTTTGCCCATCTAACACTTTACCACACTTCCCCATGTTTATAAAGCTTTCCTCGGAATTTATGCTTTGGAATTCAGCATTTTCATGGAGTTAAGCTCTAAAGACCACTGAATATGGTGGCTACTTACAATGTAGTTACAAATGCTTTACGCTTCTCCTTCACGCCCCGTTTGTCGCTCTTAACTGCAAATGACGTTGTCATGGAAGTAACTCCTTGTTAGCCATTATGATATAACTCTTTGCGCCGCCGGTGTGCTAGCACAACATCATTTTATGACGAATAATTGTGCTCAATATCTTTCTTGCATTCGCAGATGACTGCTAGCTTCCTAATGGTGTCCGTTCGTTGGCTGGCGGCCACAATGGTCGTGTGCTCGTTGTGCACAGCAAGCAACCAGCACAAGCGCTCCTTTCTGGAGCTGGGCTGCCGCGGCAACTTCGAGCAGTCATACCTGGCCAGACTTGAGCGTGTCTGTGAAGAGTGCTACCAGCTGTACCAAGACCCGAAGGCTTACAACATGTGCAGGTAAGCTGGTATATATATTCCCTGGGCCGGCGTAATGGCAGCCTACTTGTGCGTAACAAATAATCCGAGAAAGCGAACGATCACAACCAAGTTCATCTGAGTTCAGGCTTCCTGAATCTTCAAGTCGAGCAGCTTGTCTAAAATAAATAGTTATAATAAACCTAGGTGATAATAATGCATTTACCAATCGCGTTCTTGCCGCAACTCCCTTTTAAAGATGATGATTTCAAGTTTTAAGTCCCAAAGCCACGGTATGATTATGAGAGACGCCGTAGGGGGGGGAAGGGCATAAAGAATTTTCAATATTTTATGGTTTATATCGTGCAGCTGAAATCTCAATACACTCGTTTTACTTGCATTCCACCCCACACTGAATTTAAAATGATCCGAAATCAGACCCGTATCATCGAGAATAGCAGTCTGGCGCCCTACGAGCAAAGCTACTTCGGAGGTTTATTATTATCTTTACCACTTGTTTGCAGTGAATATATATTCCAAAAAGCCAGCGCAACCTCTTAATTACATCACTGAAAGGACAACACCACTGCACTAAAAGCATTTTATGATTGAAATACGCTCTATATGCTCAGGCGATCCAAGTTTGTTTAGCAAACATTTTACTTGTGTCGCTGCCTCCTGGCTTCCCCTCTTTCCCTCTGCGGCTCCTTTTTTCTAAATATCAAAATGGGCATCGTTAACATAACGACTCCTTTAACTCATTTTATTTCTTGATTGCTAAACGAGCCAACATGCTCTATGGCTATATGTGAGAGAAAAATAACCGTCATATCCACACAGTCATTAATGTTAGAAGAGTTTGCTCGAAGATTTGAGGTTAACCCGTCAATTTTCCGTACACATTTCTTGCCATAATATATAAGCGTGGCAATGTTGATATAAACGAATTTCACACACAATGTTTAATAATTGACATTCGGTTCTAATAAATACACATTAATTAAGGTGGTACGCCACTCAAAAAAAATTTTTTTAAGGACAGGCAGCGTTGAGATAACTTTTTCTCAAAACCAGCATGTATTATTTAATTTATACAGCTATTTACACTTCAAAATATTGAATATTTAGTTATTGGGAAGTAATCTTTGTCAAAAATTGCATTAAAAGTGCTAGCCATGTCAGCTGTCATAAGTGACTAATGGGAGGCTTTACTCAGTCAAACATGACATTTGTGTAACTAATGGCTGGAGCTATGCAGTGAACTAGAATAAATATTATGCAGTGAATATAAAGGAAGTAATGCTAAAAACACAAAAAACGGGGGAAAAGAGCCAATTTAGACTGAATGAAAAATATTCCATGGATTTCTTTTATTCTAGGTCACTGCATATATATACATATATATATATATATATATATATATATATATATATATATATATATATAAAATAATTATATATATATATATATATATATATATATATATATATATTAATGTTGTGAATCATTGTGCAAATTTCTGTTCTAAGTATACGCTGAGAAATACGTTATGAAAATTCGCGTCGAAACATTTGGAGCAATAAGTTATATTCAGAAAAACGTAAACAAAGATTTCCGAGCTTGTAAAAAGGGTCACAATCTTCGCATGCAGGCCTAAAATGCACCAGATTCATAGCTGGGCTCTTCTGCGGAAGCATTATTGTCTCCTTTTGTTCGGGTGGCTGCTCGTCTTTTCTTCCTGGCCTGTTTTGCCCCATCCGCTGACTTGCGTTTAGCATTCTGCATGCGCATGTGATCCCTGGCGATGCAAGCTTTCGTCGTGTGGTACCCTGGTTCTACGCCAGCTTGTCTCAGGATATCTAGGATGCTTACACTGCCATTAATAAAGTGTGCCACAGCAAACATTACTGTAGGCAAGCTTACATTTGGGCAAGCTCTTTGGGTGCCCGCTGCCATGTTAGACCATTGAAACACTCATTAACATATTGAGTCTTGTTATGAATGGCACTTCATAAGAAGGTCATCAGAACACAGATCACTGTAGACAGTTTTAAATTTGTTGAGCACATCATTTGGAAGTCGTCATTTGTGTACATATTTCCCTTGGCCGAGTGCTTCTACCCTTTGGTATCCACACCAGCTTTTTGGTCCAAGTGGACACAGGCCATGTCTCGGCTGCTTGTCGGTAGAGCTGCAACGAAAAATACTGGCAAGGGTAGCCTTTTTCATTGCATAAAGGTTCCCCAAATCAGCCCTTATGGCAATGCGATAGTAGTTTTGTGCAAACGGTCAATGATGGCATCATTGAGCTTTCCCTTGCCACCGAGTCCACACACTGTCTTCTTCAGTTTTCTGAGGCGGCAGCCAACACGCTTCTGGACATGCCATATACATTCCAGTTTCTGCACACTGTCCTTTCCATACATGTCTTTGACAGCGGCATAGCTCTTGGAATCACCATCTCCGTAGTACTGCAGGTACTTCAAATCTCTTTTGCCTTTCGACCTTTCAAATATTCGGTATAGACTCACCATCTCCATACTGCCAGCATTTCCTTCATGGTTTGCTTGACAGGAAGTGTGGTTTGCCTTTCATTCCTGTTACGAAGCACTATCTTGCCTCAAATTGCTTTTGGTTTTAAAAGACTTACACGAACTAGAAAGGGCCTCAACATCAATAACCTTTCCCGTGTCAACAGAAATCACAGACACACAACCGTTCAAAGATGAATGGTCACGCTTCTGCCACGTGCCATCACATGAAACACCACACTCGGCACTCCCCATAACACGGCGAACTTCTACAGCAGCATCAGTCATCGACTTCGACGCCACTTTTCCCGCCGCTGCAGAAAGCCGAGATGAAAATTTGTCGTAGGTGGAGTGACGTGGAGGAGCAGGCATGTTCATCACTTTGGAAAAAGTCTACGCACCAGTATGCCCTTTTCCTAACTGGCGCATCGCGTAAACCTTACGTAAAGTGTTATCGTTGGCACGGCCCACCTTTCTCGACGTATAAAATGGGTGCTTGAACGCACAGTCGGTACACACGACCGCACAAGCCGAGCATATGCCATGGTGAGAGCGTTCCTCGAGCTTCAGTGTTGTGTTCATGCATTCGGAACATGCCAGCGATGAAAACACTTAAGAAAGAATAGGAATGTCCATTATTCTGTTCTCTTGGAGCGCAGAATTCTCTGGTAGAGCCTGGTACGCATTGTTTATGTCCCTAGGCTTCTTCGCGGTCGCCGAAATACCGGCGTCTGTGTCAGTAGGAAGCATCGTTGTCGTGTAGCGATTTCCAGCGAACTTGCAGTTCCTCGTATTCTGTGTTCTGCCCTTCCCCATGCTCGTCGTAATATGGTCCAGGTGGTCCAAGGATACAGCCCTAAGCGTCAACACGTGAAACAAATGCAGAACGAAGCCTGACGTAGCCTGACCAAGGCAAACAACAAAAATTTCGACGAGCATCGTGCGTCCCCCTTGTGGCTGTTATTCGAGATTAACGAAGACTTTTAAACACAATGTTGTATTTAAAGACATCATATTGTATAACAGTGCGAATAAAATGCATAAAGTATTTTAAAAGCATTAATACAGACGAAACAACACTTGTTTTTGAAACCAATTTTTCGAAACCGAAACCACAGTTGGAATTGTGGTTTCGGTTTTGCTATGGGAGCATAGGGTATAGAAAACTTGCTGCAACTCGCAAACGAATGACGCTAGGAGGATAATTTTTGTTGCAATATATGTGTGAATGTTTAGGCGTGCAAGAAAAACAAATCAATAAAAATTTATTTCGCAAAAAAATGACTTTTGAAGGTGGCCTACCGCCTTATCTATATAACAAAATTATAAGAAAGGTGGCGCTCGAAAACGGGCGCGCTAGGCAAGCTAGAGGAAGGGAACGACGAAGTCCAGAATAGGAACAGCCGGCCCACAGTAAGAGGGCTGGTTCTTGTGTCTCTTACTACTCATCTCGTCAATACATTATATATACACAAGAGATGTTTTGCAAAGTACAAGAAGGGCAGCCTCGATGAGCTCGGGGACTAGTTTCTTTTTACATATGATAGTTTTATGATGCGTTTACTTTATTTATATGAGTTATATGTACAAGAAAGTTATTTTACAAAGGAGACCACCTGCTGGAAGCTCCGCTTCATTGGTGCAGACCGCTGGAATTAATCGATTGATAGGCATGTTTCCAGCGTTTCACGTCCTCGTGAAGCAGATCACCTCGGTGGCCGTGAGGATGGGATCATGTTCGATGTGATGAACGTGTGCGTTGAGTGACCACTGGTTGAGAAGAGCTAGGGTGAAATCAGTTCAGCGAGCGACGTCTTCTTGTAGGGCACGAAGGCATCATTGCGTTAGCGTTGGCAGCCTTTGCTGCTTGAGTCACCGTTTGACGCCGCCTAAATGACGTGGTGGTCTCCCCTGGCGTTTTTCAAATACAAGTTGTGCACAATAATACAGTTTCTGACAGTCACGTACGCGAATGTCTCTAGGTGCGTCAAGCTGTATTCGTGCACTACCGAAGAGTACGTTGCTCTTTGAGACTTGTGTACCATTGTGGCAGTACTTGGTTGCAAAAAGGGGTATTGATTGCGTCGGCAGGCGTGGACACAGAGAGAGAAGGAAAGACGTAATGTGAACGACAGTTTATAGAACTAAAATATCTTCTGAGGAAAGAAGAATATTACAATGAATAGTATGAAGACAGTAAAGTAAGACGAAGCTAAGCTTTCCTGTCCGGCTGGTGCGCTCTGTAGCCATAAGAAATCTCCAAAACAACAAAAATATGAAACTACAGAATGCAGAACGTTCTACGAGAACACGCTATGCGAACGCACTGACCACCTCATCAACCATCTATCCAATACATGCGAGAAAAAAACATATTTTATTTATTTCTGTGCAATAATGGACTGTGATGTGTGGGGGAAAAATGGGGGCTAGAGCTATTGTCCATTGTCTTCATGCTATGGCGTAACGCAGGCAATACGAGGTATAAAAACAGAAAACCAGAGGAAGAAAGCGGGAAATAGAAAGTGAACGATAAATAAGGTTAGTATAGGCGAAAAGAAGAAGTCAATACAATTAAAGAAAACCGAAGAGACACAAGAAATGCAGCCCAACTCGTCATGTACAACAGGCTTGGAACCATCACGCCGAAGAGGCTTTAATTTGGTAAACAGGGGGCATATCTTCAGAGTCTGTGCATGCGTTCATCAGAATGTGCAGCCTTTGTTCCTGGTAACCCTGAGTGATTGTCAAAATCTTGAGCTTGTAATAATAATTATAATAGTAGTATTACTGTATTACATTATTATTATTATTATTATTATTATTATTATTATTATTATTATTATTATTATTATTATTATTATTATTATTATTATTATTATTATTATTAACATCATCTTAGGTATTACGTCACAAAGGCCAGGAGATGAATATTAGAGACGATGTCTGGGAGGGCTCCGGAAATTTTGACCATCTAGTGTTGTTAAACGTTCACTGACATCGCAAACTACTTGCGTCTCTACCATTCCCCCTCGATCAAAACGCGACCGCCCTGGCCGGGATCGAACCCACGATCATCGGGTCGGCAGCAGAGCATCGTAGCCATTTTGGCACTGAGGTGGACTGTTCTCAAAAGCAAGCCTGGATTTGTGTAGGTCATTGCTGGCAACAAAACAATCAGCCGTAGGCTGTTCCTACCTGGCTGCATCAGTTGACATCAGTTGGCCAACTGTTTCGCATCCTCTTCGATTTAGACGTGAAAATAGACACGAAGAAAAACAATTGCCATGTGAATTGATTGCACATAAATTTGGAGATCCCTATTGCTGGTAGAGCATAAGTTTCATCTGGCTAGGAATGTTGACTTCATCTGTTCGCTCTTATGAATAGTTTCCAATTCATTTTTTTTTGCGCAGAGACAACTGCTTCAAGAACGAGTACTTCTTCCAGTGTGCCGAGGCGCTACTTCTCAAAGATGAGATAGACAGTCTCAAGAGTAAGGTCGATTACCTGTACAGCCGCTGACGACCTTAACGAGGACAAGACACAAGGGCCGCTCATCAGCAATTCATTGTTTCATTTCTTCATCACCATAAATATCTAGCCTACAGAATCTGACTGCAACCGCAACAACCAACATACTTACCTTAAACATAACTTCAACCTAGACTGGAGCACAAGCGATGGGACACAGTCGTGAAAAAAAAAATACGATGTGACCTGTCTGGTGCCGTCTAGTTCATGGAGAAACTTCGAGAATCATACTGATCCGGCTTAAGCTTCCTCCATTGAAAATCCCAGCACGACCTTTACACCAGCGGCCCTTGAAGTGAAGCAATGGACTAACAAAGGATACGTCCACGAATAGTCATGGCCACTATAGCGCCGTCATGAGTTCGTCGGTGACACTATTCGCCACCCGCTTGACAACATGTTCTCTTGCTTAGTTTGAACGAAATTTCAGTGCTGCAGTTCCTGTCTCGTATCATTAGTATATATCTTATGTATCTGCGTGTAACATAAAGTTAACACGTACTAAGGTTGAATAAAAATTATACTGTTTTACGCCTTCTGTTTTGATCCCTTATTTTGTTTCTTTATACCCCAATTTACCAAGCCTAAACTTTTATGTTACAAAAAAAGCAAACGCGATTCACTTACTTCAAGTGCAATACTGCTTCGCACGGGATTATATGTTGAACAATGTTGTGGGAGGGGGTAGGCTTGGAACATCTGGGATGCATCTCGACACGAGAAAAGTGTCCAGCATGCATGACAGCTAAGATGCAGTGGTCAAATAGTTGCGCAATAAAATAACTTATCTATATAATACACGGTAAATGCAAAGTGAAGGTGCATTTCATGGGCCAGCACTACAGTAATATGTGTGCTCCATGATGAATAGGTTGGAGACTATCCTAACAAATATTTTTAATTTCGACATACGGTAACTTCTACACAGTGTTTTCTTGATCAAAAAGGCGTACCTGCATCTGCAATAGTCTCAATCAGTTCGAAATGTGGCATTACGCATTGATTTAAATTGAAGTTTAATAAAGTTCACAAAGGCAACTTACTGATTTCACGTCGATTCTGCTAAGAGGTGGTTGAGTGTGAGCTGTAATAGTGTTGGGGACATGTTTGCAAAACTACTAACGGGAGCATCTGTCGGTCATTATCTAGAGGGACTCGCCGTACTTTCTTTAGAGTTTCCTTATTCGGTAAAAGCAGAGGGCTCATCAAATAAAGCATATTTCAACAGCGTATTGCGATTAAGTTCTCCAAATATGCCATTGACACCACTTTCTTGTTCTAAATTTAAAACAGAGCTCATCGAGACATCCCAGAAAATTATCGTCAGAAGAAAAGGCGATCCTTTCGATCTTTAGGCTGAGATTATTAGACAAACCTAGCACTCTCATCCACAGGTAGCGGAGCAACCTTAACGTGTTATATCACTAGCTTCGCAGGTAAAGGAATAACATATTTACCCTACCGGATAATATGCATATTGTGGTCACTGCCATTATTACGGCATTTCGTTACGTTACTCACGGCATAAAATCGGCGACAGACGCACCCTTGACTTAGTTTTCTGCTATTTGGTATAATAAATCGCTCCGACGAGGTGTACCGTATAGTATGGTGCAAGCGAGCAGTTATACTTTACGGTGTTTCCTCACTTGAAAGAGTGATCTTGGACATATAGGATTTGAATTAAAGGCGCGACACAATTGTTTTTGCATGTGCGCAGAGCTTCAATGTTAGTTTCTCTACGTTTCTCTTGTTCTAATTAGAGGCGCTCTACACGCCATGTGAGCTGACTGGCTAACTTGTTCCTCTACGTGGGTTCAACATACAGGTTCAGTTAGCTGGCACGCAAGACCTACCTTCAAGAAGTGTGTAGCTGCATTAGGTTGCACTAGGTGATCTCAGATGATTGACCCGCGCTCCGAGAATACTGCCTGTCTTCAAAGCCTTTTGTGAGATGAAGGTCACGGTTTGAATCACGACAGTGGTAGTCGCATTTCAGTGGTGGCGAAACGCTACCGGTTCGTGTACTGTGCCATGTCAGAGTTCATTAAGCAACAGCCCGTGACCGCAATTGCCGGAAACTTTCACTACAACGTCCCTTACAATCAATCTGTCAAAATGTGTATTCCTTGCAAAGTATATAAACGCATTGGGTTCAGTATATGTAGAAGGAGGTTCCATAGCACAAGGCTGAAAGTGGACCTCTTGGGAAAAATGTACATGTTGATAAGTACAAGAAATCGTCAACTAAAAAGCGGCAAGTAATTATATTAAGATTAAAGACAATGCCAAGATGAAATGTGAATTTCAGTAGTATTGGTAATAAACAACCTTCATTATTACACATGGCTGTTAAAGATGACAGAATAATCTTGAACAAGAAGAAATTAAATTAATGATACACGAGATAACACAAATGTACATTAGTAGTAAGTGTAAAAATAACTCGTGCAGTAATAGCTCAAAATCTAAGGCAATGAAATACAGATTAGTTATTATTGCGATATCATACGATGAGGTTCTTTTTTCAAAGTGTTGAATGAGAATTCTTTAGTGCACTTATTGAATTACGAAAATGTACTACAGTTGGTACATTTAGTTAGTGTATTCTCCGTAATTAGTGCATGTATGTGGGAGTAAAAAATGTTGTTAAAGGCAAACCTGGTGGAATTAGCGTTTACAAATAGAAATTTACGGCGGTGTTCGGGCGTGCCTCCTATATTCTCTCCCTCTTGTATTAATAGTGTGGGGACCATGAGAATTCGCAAAACATTTAAGTTACAGCTTGTGCTTTTTGCTCTAGGTCCACTATTCGTTTATTACAAAAAAATCTGGTGCCTCAAACAAAAAGGGCAAAATATTCTGCTAAGCATCCGCAAAACATAAAACCACATAAAATTTTAGTAAATCGAGCTTTATTGTTGCCGCAAGGGTCGCTTATTTATTTGGCGGTTTAGCAGCTACGTAAACCTCTGTATACCATACTTACCAGCATTGCAAACTGAAATACAAGATACACAGCGAAGAACACGCCATCAATGAACTCAATAGATGACTTATACAATTCGCGTTTTATCTCTTTGTTTTCTTTTACGTATACCATCCTTGCTTGAAAACACAACGTCCTTCTGATACAAGAAACGTACATGAGCTATATTTTCGTCTTGTTTGCAGCGTACATTATGTATAAGCCTGTATAACAGTTAACATTGATTCTCAATAAACAATGCAACCGGTACGGCAGTCCTTATTGCTACGGACACAATGGCACCAGTGTAATATTTTAAATAACCGAGATATTGCCATCGCAACTACGACCACAGAAATAGGTGGCCTACATATAAAATGTCATCCCCAGCACGTTATAAAATAATTTTCTCTTTTTCACAGTCGCTTCTTGTCTGTCGCCCCACCATAAACAAAGTTCATAACCAATGTAGACAAAATATTTTGCACTGAACATAAATAAAAAGTAATGAATTAACAAACTATGAAATACAAACAACAGAGTGTAATAAATAATTTACCTAATAAACAATGAAACAAACAAGTTCGCACATTGTGAGATGTTCATCCATGAAGTCTTATGAAAAGGATGTTTTGAAGCCTGAAACAACCCGGAGACATTGAAAGAAAAGAAAATAGAGAGAACGCTGGATAAAATCCAGCGCTACTGCCCATTTTCATAAGTACGTCACCTGACGGTGAGTTTTCGTCAGTTCGCTTCGCAAAGAGTGTGGGATAGCTAGCGCCATCTCGAGGGCATGGAAAGCGAGCCGTCAAATGAGTGAGGGCTGTGTGTTGGCGGCTAGTTCTCCGTATCATCCGCTGCCATCGCACCGCTTTCTAGCTTGAACGAGCTCCTAGTACTCTCCGATCAGCTTTCTGAGCTGCTTCCACTCCACAATGAGCAATATTTTGTACCCTTCTACGCGTTGGACGAGCAGGTTGGCTTGTTATGGCTGGCAATGTATTGGATCCGGCCTGCAAGAGACTCTCATCGGCGTGCCCTCCCGACGCGGTACGCGTCCTGCAGGAACGCAAAAGGTGTATGCGTGCGCTGCAGGAAACGCGCATTGGCGTCACTGAAACACAAAACCTACGCCGTCTGCTGCGGTGCCCTCACAATGGCGACAGACTGTAGTTAGCGTCCACGGCGCTTGGGGCGCCCTTTTTCGAAAACGGTCTATTACTGTGTCTTTCTTTGTCCGTGTCTGCATCTTTTAGCGATAGCAATTATAAGGACAGTGTCCACTGGTTTTTTTTTTCCGTCGCCACCATCATTCACTGTATTTGTATACGTATCTATATATATGAACATTTCAAGAAAGAAAATCGGCCCCGTATCTGCATGTTTCATTTCAAATGTCATAGAAAGACAATAGTCTTGCGTCTGCGGACAGTGAACAAAGCGTCTATTTGATGTTCTGCGTGACAAAATCAGTGAATTGTATTCCGGAGGCGCTGCGTTAGAGAGTCTGGATTCGTGCAGCGAAGGTGAACGAGCGCATCGAGGCACGTTAGACACGAGCGCTATCTGGCTGTTATCTTCGAAAACGGAGGAAGGCGTGTGCGCCCGCCTTGGAGGCGATAAGGTGTAGAAGGCAAAGTCATGGGCAGCTGCTACCACAGTGTCATCTTAGCAATGCGTTGTATACACTTGCCTTTTTGAGCATCACGCTGCCTTCTCAGCGCAGCGTCGTAAATGCTATGGTCCGTGGAATTATTTATGTGTGCCTTTTTTAGTATAAATATATACATAAAAATATTGACGTGTTGTTATGGCGCTCTAGATATGCACAATAATTGCTCTTTAACTGACAATCACACAACTATGAACTCTGAATCTTATATTGGTGGCTGTTGCAGATTGGTTTGGTCGTTTGGGGTATCGTTTGGTGCCGTTTGACGCATCATTACGGCGAAAAACAGACAAATGTACAGACAGACCAAAATTTGTGCGTCGAAGTACGCCAAGAAAGACTATCGTCTTGAAAAATCCGCCCACGCGCGCTGACCAGCCCATTCCGATGTGCCGACGTGGGCTCATCCTTGCTTGCCTCCCACGCGTACTTCGCCCAACAAAAAAGGGATGGGGGAGGGTTAAATGCTTCAGGGCACGCGCTTATCCTTTGGCGGGGAAAATCATGTGCGTTTGACTTTCACTGAAATTATTTCATTAGTTTCCGGACCCACAAAGGAGAGTTCCGTCACTGCACAGGCCCCATTTGCAAAAAGAGCGTGCTTTTCATACACAGTGAAGTATAACAACTGGACATTTTTAGTTTGCACTAATCTGTACCTGTAATTAACTTTCGTGCGTCGTTTCTGTTTAAACAGCGTGTTACGTGTTCAGCAGTAAACGTTGCTAGTTCACTTTCATCCAGTGTATGTTGTTTTCTTGCGTCTGTGGTGCGTGAGCAACGCGCTGCACTTTTATCTGCTTGCCGTTCTCAGCGTTACATTCCAATTTGTTGCTATCGCTTATTCTTTTGTTCTTGCGGCGAAACTGTGACTTTGTTTCTCTTATTTCGTTTTAGTGCTGAATATGCATCACTGATCAATGTTCAAACAAGTCCAGAATATCAATTTAAGGCTCTGTTTAATTTTCTTTCCCTAGAATTTCAGCCAAAGTTGTAGTAATCGTTACTCACAAACCACTTTTTGTTTCATACTCGAGCAATCTCTCTGCCCTCTTTTTTGTCTTCTTCCTAGCCTACCGCAATTATTGGATGCGAAACTTTATTTGAAGTCCTAAGGTGCATGACAACGCGCAGCGGCCCACTTTGGGCAATGGCTACAAGAAGATATGCAGTGGCCCCGGATCATCCGTGGAGGTAGTTGATCATGCGTCGCAGGTCGGCCATTTCACCTTTCAATAGAAGGGCCTCAGCACACAGGTCAAAGTTTTCGTTCTTGAAGCAATTGTCTCTGGTGTCAACAGTCGCATGGGAGGCCAAGAAAGAAACAAAAGACGAAGATACAAAACACAGATTAAGTGCTGGTAAGATCAAGAGTGTTCTACGTTTACCTACACTAAAACTGGCACTGCGATCTGTTGGACACATGAAAATGCTGGTATATGTGAGCTCCGAACTTCACTCGGATACGTATCGGTCGCATGGAGCCCGGACACATCGAAGACGCGTGTGGTTTCAACCCGTTCTTTGCGTCATAAGGATTGATTGTTTTTCAAGAAGCTTGTAGTAAAAACGTATTTCTTGGCTTTGCGCAGAAACGAATTTTATTTACCATTGAAAACTTTACGCTTGAGTACGCTTTCAGGAAGCGTCGAAACTAACTGACAGCTTCTAAACTTCGCAGGCAGATGACAAGGCCAGTGTTCACTGTGTCGCTGATAATCATCTGTTTCTCTCTTTCGCCATTTCGCTATGCAGCAGAGGTCAATGTACTTTTAGTTTGGATATATTTACGAGCGAATAGAATGAAATATTGAAAGTTTTATTTTAGGACACCTTTATTTGCAGTCGTATATGCTTTTGAGCCGAAACCTCACTCAACACCAGTCAGCGAGAGCCTCGCACGCGTATATAGCATCATTCCCAGCGTGCCAATGGCACCTTTCAAGAAATTCGCATAGGTGGTGGTGCCGGATTACCGTCTAGATAGTGTTGTAAGAAAATACGGTGGCAATGTAACAATCCTGAAGGGGAAATGGCGCTGCCTGTTTTATCAAGTTCATTCATCAGGTTGTTTTATTAGGTTTTCTGTCACACACACTCAAATAAGGTGTTCGGGCCCACACGAAGAAAGAACAGATATCCACCGCATCCACAGATATCGATCTGCACAAAATCTAGGCTGCGAGAACAAAGCTGTACAGATAAACTAAACGAAAGCCTAGAACTACTCATCCTTTCGATATGAATAACGCCAACAGTTTTGTTTTGATTTTCCTAGTACGCTTTTCAGCATTGCGTAGCTGGTACATAATTGGTAGTCACTTGAAGTAAAGTTGTTTTATATTTTCCTGCTTATTAAAAAATAATAATAATAATAATAATAATAATTATATTCGTGAGGTTTTCTTTTTACGTTCAAGAAGTAATACATGAGAGAGAATTGACATAAGGCAGGGACGTTCACTATAGACAATGTAGGGTTTTCTACCCTACACGGGGTGTTCAATAAGAAAGCACTACGTTTCTCACTGCACACACAGTGCATTTTTGCTCAGGTGGTCGCTCAGTGATTTGGGTACTGCCGCAAGGCACGTGTGGCTTTCTGCGCTTATGCACCGTTGGACAATGCTCCCAATATCTCTTCTTGAGTAAAAGGCCGATCATCAAACCTCCTAATGTACTCTGATTAGAGCAGGAAACCCTAGTGAGGAGCTCAAAAAGTTTAGAGGGCCTCAAGTTAATTACGGTGCTCCTCAATTGAAGTTAACAGGCTCTCTCAAGCATTTTACCTCCATCTAAATTCGGCCGCCGCCATAGAGATGAGATTCCGCGACCTTTGAGTAGTAGTACCATAATCAATAGACCACCGTTTCGCGTGGCTGTAACATTATATAATATGTAGTCACCGCAATTTGTGCAATGAGCCAATAAGCCTGACTTTTGAATAGTTCTAGCTTCACCACGCACTTGCTCATTGTCGTTCACGTTATCGCAGAACTTGTTGCATAAAAAAATAAATCTTTAAATCCAACGATGTTTTTTTTTCTTCATCGTTGGAGGATTAAAGGAAGAAGACTGTGCCAGGAGGATATGATTGATTTGTAGGGTTTAACGTCCCAAAACCAACTTATGATTATGAGAGATGCCGTAGTGGAGGGCTCTGGAAATTTTGACCACCTGGGGTTCTTTAACGTGCCCCCAAATCTGAGCACACGAGCCTACAACATTTCCGCCTCCATCGTAAATGCAGCCGCCGCAGCCGGGATTTGAACCCGCGACTTACGGGTCAGCAGCCGAGTACCTTAGCCACTAGACCACCGTGGCTGGGCGTGCCAGAAAAATAATGCACAACTATTCGCGCAGTCTACGGTAAGTCCATGCGCTGGCAATGATATTTTTTTCTACTAAATGAGCATTACTCATCCCGCCATATACAGTGTGTTTCAGTTAGGCAACATTTCAGTTTGGCAATTTCTCATTTTGGCGACGCGATTTCCCGGTTTCATAGACTTTTCAAAATTGTTCTTTGATGCATATGGGTCATTTATTGTAAACCTGAGGCACCGCAGTAGCTTATCCCGTCGCGTGTCACGCTACTAAGCTCGAGGATGTGGGTTCGATTACCGCACACGACGGCTGCTCTTATGAAAGAGAAAAAGGCAACTGAAATGCAAACAAAGTACCAGGCTGCACGCTAAGAAACCTACAGGGTCAAATTTTTTTAATTTCTCTACTACGGCATTTCTATAAGCCCTTTCAATGCAACAACGAATATCACTCATTAGAATATTATTATGAAGAGGTCACACCAGGAACGCGAAACATCATTAGCCTGGGTTTCTTATGACAAGTTGTTTCAGACGTTTGGAAAGGGCAGTGCGATGACACAAACACGAAGTAACAGCACGCACAATGGGCACTTATTTGTCCCTTTCTCTTCGTGCTACTCTTTTCAAATAAGTATTGTTACGCTTGAAGGAGAATCTCAAAGGCTGAAAAGAGTCGTTTATGAGAATGAGCTCAGGAGCAGCCGACTAGTTTGAGCTCCACCTGATCGTCTCCTGCTTTTCCAACTCTGAGGGGCAAGCACCAATACCATTGTCTTTTTCCATGGGCGCAACATTCACGCACATGTAGATGAAAGCCACTGGACGAGTCAATGGAGTTCTCTTTGGTGCGAATTGTTTTAGACGTGCAGGCGAAAGCACTTGGTAATGATGTAACCAGGGGTTCTGCCCAGAGGACCGAAGCCAGCCAGAGTCTCGGGGAGATCTCAAGGAGAGGAGGGCGGAGCTGCTAACAGTTACTTTTATTTATATAATTTACTTGTAGCGTGCTACATGATGGTGGTAGCATTATGGAAGCTCTCGACGGAAGCATGATGGGAGCTTCTGCGAGCTTGTCATAGCCTGTCAGGAGAGCCTTGGCGTTCGAATTTTCTGTCCTGGCCTTCCCTGGACTCCCTGCAGGAAAAAAACATTGGAGGCCAAGACAGTCCAATGAATTTTGCCATCTTCATTTCCGCCCCCCCCCCAAAAGGAAGATGAAACGCCACCTCCTTCACAACCCACGAAAGGGGGAACAGGCACGCCCAGTTCAGCCCATGGCGAGAGAGAAAACACTGCACACCACGCACGACACACCACTGCACGAAGACGTTGAGTCTTACATAGAAGTCTATTTCGTAGTCTGTTGCCATGATGGGTACGGGGCGCCCGCCAGACCCCAAATTGTGGAAACAGCGGCATCAAGGCGCCACAGAGAATAGGGGAAAGGTATCCGCAGATGCGTCGTTTCTGTTTCTGTCTGAGCAGACGGTTCTCAGACGCTGAGCCGTTCGCCCGGGGCACCTTGAAGACAAAGCAAGCCACCTCGATGGCCAACAACTCTTCCTAATCCGTCAGTTGGTCAGGCGTGTCCAAAGAACTCTACATGGGGCGCCAACGACCTGGGATAACTAAAAGAACAATTTCTCTGTTGTCGCCACTCTTGGTGCATCTCTGGGAGCATTGACTCACAAAAAATCAGGGTAGGCTCAGCCACCATGTCTCATGCGACAAAGCGGTGTCAAGCCAGGCAGGCCAATCATAACATTACTTGGCAGCTCGTCGACCAGTCGCTGAGTGGCAGTATAGGTGGCCTCTGTCAGTCTGTCGACATTAGCAAGTGGTTCATTGAATGTGGCCAAAAAATTGGCATAACCGGCACTTTAGCGTAGCAGTCAACAACTACATAAAATCACCAGGGCAATGAATCGCAGGTCAGTGGTGCTTGTCGATTGTCATAACATGCATTCTCTTTGTCTTGCAATACCGACGTGCGTCATCTAGCTCTGCGATACGTCTCTTCGGCAAAGCAGAGGGTCTTGGTGTCATTAATGTAGTCGTAATCACAGAACGAGCAGACTTTGTCGACTCTGCACTGAGACGAACGTGTCTACAGCAAGAAGAAAGAAAAAAATTGTGCGGTCTCGGGCTTTGTGGTGTTGAATGCGTATGTTATGAACGGTGCATTGTTTCCCACGTCAACCCAGTTTTTGTGGTTTGATCAGGTATACATTGACACCATATTGATAACTGTGTTGTTTGTACGTTCCGTAAGCCCATTTGTTTGTACGTGCTATGGAGTCGAGTGACGCAGGTGCGATTCGTACAAAAGAAGCAGCGTTTCCGCGGCATCTCTTGAGCATTCGCATCCATGGTCGTTCATGATGAGGCAAGGGGGGGCTGTGTCAGAGGATGAGGTGCTCTAGCAAGAACAACAAGACGTCACTGGTCATCTCGCAGTAGCGTGCCAGATAGTCGACTCAAACTATCATCTATCGGTTGTCCTTAGCTTCATTTTTTAATGGACCTACGAAGTGAATTCCCACGTATTCAAAAGTTCTGCTTGAACTTGGCATCCACTGCAGTACACCAGCTGGAGCAGTAGATGTACCTTTGTAACGGTGACATTGCATGCAGCAGCTGGCTAGATAAATCTCAACAGGCTTTTGCATACCAGGCCAATAAAAGCGTTCTTTAGTCCGGTAAAGCACCCGCGCAGAACCTAAATGCCCAGATGTAGGAAAGTCATGCGTGGCACTCGTGATCACTTATCAGAGGCACTCTGGCACCACCAGAACAAAACGTGCGGTAATGCTAGAAATATTCCTCTCGTACAACACTCCATCACTCACGCAGAAATAGTGTGCTCTAGTAGAGATTGATGCGGCAGCGAACGACGGCGCTTGTTTAGCATCCTTTCGCTGTATGCTGATTCAAAACTGTGAAAGTCCGGGAAATTAGGCTACCCAGAAGTAACAAATTGGCCAGGGTTACCGGCGTCACAGTCCGTTCTTTGTTTTACAGAGTGGCCTGCGTGAAAGGCAGTCCGCATCGACATGTTGTTGACCACAATTATGAGCGACGGCAAAGTATTATTTTAGCGGCGTAAGTGCCCTGTGCGCAAAGCGGCCACAACAGTCACAAATTTTAAACTCCTACAAAAAGAGTAGTAGTCAGTTACAACTATGAAGAGGCGTCCATTCAGGTAAAACTGAAGCCAATGAATTGCCATTAATAGCGTCAGTCAATCTTGTTGTGTAACAAGGTAATTTTGCTCAGGCCTGCTTAGGGGGCGATTTGCGTATGCGATGACGTGATCGCGGTCACCGTAACGTTGGACTACAATGACAACAATACCTACGCCGCTAGCGTTCGTATAAAGTTCTGTCGGAGCAGAAGAATTGATGCGCTGAAGAACGGGTTGTGACATGCAAAGAAACTTCCATTTACGAAACGAAGAATCGAAATATGGAGCTCACTCAAAGAAAATGCCCTTTCGTAGGAGGCATGTGAGAGGATGCGCGACGTCCGTGAATTTCCGAATAACGCGGCGGAAGTACGAACATAGCCCCAGAGAAATTGTGGAGCTCCATGATGAAGTTGGGCCTTGAATGTCTCAACGGCTGCTGTCTTCAGAGGATCAGAGTCAGTGGCATCGTTGTCAACTAGACGCCCAAGCACAGGCATTTGGAAATCTCTGAAGTGAAATTACTTCCAGCTACCAACAAAAACAGCGTTTCAGATGCAATTAAAACAATGTCCAGGCACAAGTTTTCTTCACTGAGTGTGCGGCCTCAGATGACCATGTTGTCGAAGTTGCACATGCAGATGTTCAACTTCAATCCGCATAAATTGATGTCTATAAACCTCTCGAACGTTGCTGGAGCATTTCGTAATCTAAATGGCACCACGCTGAAAACAAAGAGGCTATCAAGAATTACAGTCTTTTTCTTGTTCTGTTAGTGCATCGGAATTGGCCTGACGCAAATCATGAGTCTACGGAAGAAAATAAGAGGCCAAATGCAAGCAGTCTACTGCGTCTCCAATACGTAGCAGTGAGTATATGTTCTTTATAGTTACACCACATAGTCGGTGATGGTCTACACAAAGTTTTCAAGATTCACCCTACTGGTTCTGCCCACGGACTGGCTGACTCTTGTATCAGTCCCTTTCACGTGATATGCTGCGCTTGATCGTTGATAACTTTAAGTTCTGACGGGGAAATACAATATAGACTTTCCTGACATAAACTTGCCACACCAGTGTAGATCGTATGGCCTGTTGCAGACACGGTGATTAGGGTCACTTTGTCCTCCTGACTGATCTCGAACACCAAAACGTGCTTCGAAAGCACGCCCATTAATGTTCAGCGTTCACTTGTGCTGAGCGACTTATTTATCATTGCCAGAAGCGCCTTGTCTGTGCTGTGTCAACCAGGTTCTTCGAACATGTCTGTAAGCTCGTGCACCAATACGGACGCGTGTTCTCTGCTAACCGAGGTTATTTTCAAACCGTCCGGTAGTATCATGGCTCTGAAGAACCAATTATTTCCATTAGTCAGTGAGCCCACCTTTGGTAGACACCACAAAATGGGGAACCAATGAATTCTTTGTCATGCAGTTAATGTGCATAGGTTCTAAGCTTGCATCGAGGCGTACTCTAGACGACGCTAGTATAAGCTTATTGCCACATGCACACATTGTAGTTTTTTCCACATGTCCTCATGGCATCTGGTAACTCACAGATATTTTTCTTGTGTGAGAGTCTACAGAGGAACTATATTACCACAGAAGTCATATGCCCAGAATGACGTAATTAGTGGATCGAGGAATACGTGCAAGCACTGTTGTAGTGATAAGGCCTCTATAAAGCACGTCAGTGGTAAAGGCACCAACAGGACGCAATGGCTCTTCAGTTACTCCTCAAAACCACTAGTATCATTCCCCTTAAAACAACTTTTCTTCCTAAAATGCCAACAAAGAAAGCCCTTATCACTGATATTGTCACCCCTGTGTGAACCAAGTCCATCACAGGCAGACCATATGTACTTTGTTTAAGCTTGTAAATGTACTTTGTTTGGCTTGTGCATGTACTTTGTTTCAAGCTTCAAAACAGTAGGTATTTTCGTCAAAGCAATCTCACCCCATTACCCTGCTGACTAGTTTTACAGAGACAAACGAGATGCTTCGTGACACAGTGGCGAAGGAGAACGATGAACATCAGGTCACAGTGCAGGCGTCAGACTCCTGTCAGATTTCGAGGAGTAGTTGAGAAAGCTGCTGCACCAACAACTCTCGTCAGGTGGTATGTGTGCTGGCCACAAGACAACGTGAGGCCGTTTGGAGAGTCGTGGAAAGCCTGAAAGTTGGTCATACTACAGAGCCAAGCAGTGCTTCCTAAACCACAATATATAGCCCAGAAAACCTAAAAAAAGCACACTGGCATAAGTCAAAACGTGAGTTTCTGTTTGGGGATTGAGTGTCCTCCTTTGCTTCTATAAAGAGGTGGACTCGCCGAATGCGCCTTAACCAGACGTCGGGTGTCGAGGGAGCATGCGCTGAGCATGTCGGTCGTACCGCGAAGTGGGCAATCGGGTCTTCACTCATGTCTGGGGGACTTGCCTGTATTTCGCAGTCGTTGCACTTATCGTCCGCTGCGAAGGTTTCGAAAGAGACGCAGCCATAGTCTCACGTGGTGTTTAAAACCCATGGCCAGCTGTTCAACGTGCCATTTCCCCGCCAGATGCCACTGGCGAAAACTGTCGAATGGTCGAAAAAAGCTCGAAGGCAGGATTTTTCTCCACACTGGCAACTGTGGTAACATCTGCCAGCCGGCAAAGCTTTGGCGCAGTTCGACGCATCTTGGGCGTTTTCAACGTTCAGAAATGACCAATGCCTTCAGAAACATAACTGATGCTTCCTTTTTCCGAATACAAAATATAAGTTGTGCATGTCTCTCCTCAGAGTAGTGCATATTGTGACAGTGTTTGCTCAGCCCCCTTCTTTTTAGTGACCGAGTAAACGAAACAAAACTTGAGCTCTTGAAAGAAAAAATCTGACGTTGCGAGCGTCTCCTCAAGCTTTTCATACAACAGCACGGCGGTGTCGATCAAGGAGAACATTACATTGGTTAGTTGAACGGATAAATCTCACCCATTAGCCTAACTTACTCATTTCTACTCGGTGATCCACGCATAAACATGATCTCTCATTCTTATTCCAAAGGGTCGTAGAACTCGGTAGTGGTGAGCGGACTACAATGTACTCTCCTGGCAATATCTGCTCATTCGGGCAAGTCGAATGCACTTACGGCAGATGGCGGGCAACGAGCAAGTCAACAGCTTCGTGTGAGGCTGCAGAACTGATGTTTCCATAGTTGAAAGCGCGTACGCAGCACCTCCACCGCTCTGCTACGTTTAAAGATACTGAGAGACTTAAAGGGGCTCTTTCTTTGGCCGTGGAAGTGCGCTTACAAGGGGCCTACTAGGTAGAGATGATGACAATGGCTATATAAATGGTTCACACCTGCTCTGATGTGTATATATATATATATATATATATATATATATATATATATATATATATATATATATATATATATATATGTGGTATGTGTAATGAATGACAGAATAGATAGAGATACCAATTTATAGGCTCGCGATCAAAACCATGCTGATTACCTTCTTCTTTTCTAACTTCGAGTGGCAAGCACGTACACTCCATGGCGTCTTCACCATCTTCATTATGTGCGCAACAGTATGACGCACCAACTATCCTAAACCAAGCTACTCCTCGCGCGCATTTGTGACAAGCTGTCCGAATCTGCGATCATGAGTTCATACTAACTTAGTTGTGGTGATCGTTCACTCTGTCTGATAGTTTGTTATGTGGAAGCTCTGCAGTATTTTTGTGAATTTGAGTACTTTGGTACCGTACCTGCACAGGTTGTAGGCCTCTGATTTTTGGTACAGCTGGTAGCACTCTTCGCAGATGCGCTCGAGGTGGGCCAGGTATGACTGCTCGAAGTTGCCGCGGCAGCCCAGCTCCAAGAAAGAGCGCTTGTGGTGGTCGAGTGCCGCGCAAACGAGGGGCTGCGTGAGCACCATAAACAAGCACACGAGCAGTGCAGACGCCAGACAATGAACGGGCACCAGCAGGAAGCCAGCACTCATCTGCGAATGTTACAAGGAGAGAGAGCACGTTTATGTTATATAAGAGGGTTTGTGCTTAAACACAGGTTGCGCAAAGGCTTATAAATAAGAGCAGCTAACGAAGATTTTCTTCTATGCAACATTTGTTTGCAGTCAAGAGCACTAAATAGGAAGCAGAAAAAAAGCATAAGTTATATGTAACTACATCGTAAAGTGCCGCCACAACGGATGGTAATTAAGAGTTTCTAACTAAACTTTACGAAAAGCTGTGTGAACCTGAAGATGGGTTGGAAGAAAGTTCGAGAGGCAGATGAAATTAAGGTTGCGTTGACAACGTAAAGGTTGCGCATTAAGCAAAGTACTGGAGAAAAATAGAGTGACGTAAAGGTGTTTGCACTGCATTGCGCGTGATTATGCTGATAGTGGTAAAAAAAAATGAGTTATAGCCTCAGCAGTGGTGAAGTGGTACAGAGTCTACTCCTAGCGCCTGGGGTGTGGGGCTCTACCCCTATTTTTCTACGGGGGAAACAGGTACTCTGACGTGGCATTTCGTTGTCTTTCATAAGGCATTTTCAGCTTTACGCACGTTTTCACTGGATTTGAGGAGGTCGCAAAACTGTCATATTGTCACAATGACTGTTTCACAAAACAGAGGCCTTGCATGTCAGTGAAAAGCGCTTAAACGGAACAAACGCAGAGGCGGCAGTGCCTTGAGGGAGCGTGTTGTCATACTAAGTGTAGAGCGAGTAAGGTTGCAGCACTACGCTAAGAGAAAAGGAGAGCGTCAGCTATTCATGTCTACTCGGATACGGACAAAAGTAGCAAAATATACCCACGGTTTGTGACTTGTGCCTTTTCTTTCTTCCGTGAGAACGCTGAACGGGGGCTCGCACAGCTATTGCCTCGTGGTGATTATTCGACATAAACCAGTCAAAGACGTTCGCCAGGAGGTAAGGTATTCACCATCGGGCCTCGCGTCAGTGAAAATACATCTGCCTTTTAGGATTAACCTCTACTAGACCAGCTGGAGTGTGCGCGCCTGTCATTACGCACTGCTCACTTATATTTACGACCTCGTCAGGAGGCGTGATGGCAGCCAGAGGGAGCAAGGGAGGCTCGCCTTGCTCTCGCTTTTCTTATTGGGTGCGCGAGTGGACGTAGGCCGGGACGTCACAAGGGAGCGGATGTCACGTGCGAACAGCACGCACGCGCGCTCCCTGACTTTTCGTAACCGAACCGTCAGGCCCGCAGCGAATGATGTTGCTAGGTTTTTCTTGTTGGCGTCTTCTGTTCATTTCTCTACAAACTCTTCTCTGAATGTTGCGTTGAGGCATCGTTCGTTTCCATCACAATTACCCTGATCCTCTGCATATCTCCTGCGTGAACTGCTATAAACTCAAACAATCGGCTCCATAGACTCCCTCACGATTCCCCATTAACACAGTCGGGTTTTCAATAATGCCATTCATTTTCATATAGGTATTTTCATTTTATTTGTTTTATTTTCAAATACTGCAGCCCAATACAGGGCTATTGCAGGAGTTGGGTACATTTACATGAACAAAATACACAGATTACAAGGTTGACATAAAAAAATGGTTTATTATAACAGTGCATCTACCGATTCCGACAACGATAATTCACGAATACTACCGCGTAAGTCATTCCACATTTCAATAACTCAAGGAAAAAAACTGTTATTGAAAATTTTCGTGTGTGTAAAGAAAGGCTTTAGGTTGAGGCTGTGGTAACGTATAGTTTAAAGAGTATCAGCATATGAGATGTAATCATCTGAAGATAGTCGACAAGATGAGTGAAGAAATGATTGCAATAGCTTCGAAGAATTGGTATCCCGTCTGGTGGATAGGAGAGGGAGTTTTAAGGAAGTCATTGCTGATGAAGGTGAAAAGTTATGGTGTAGCGATGGCAAATGAAACTAATAGCCTTTTTTTGAACAGATTCAATTTTGTTGACGTCTCATGTTATATACGGGTTCCAGACCCATGAAGCATATTCTAGTATAGGGCGTATGAGCGTTTTATACAGAAGTATCTAGGTGCATTTCGGAGATTTAGATGACGAACGACGCAGGTAACCTAACTTTTTCAGTGCTTTGGATGTGATGTATTCAATATGCCGCGACCAATGTAAGTTGTGTGATAAGATAACCCCAAGGTATTTATGCTCTTGTGCCCGGAGAATTATTGTGTTCTCGGAAGTGTAATGATGCAGCAACGGAGAACGGCTGTTGGTGAATGATACGGACTACAGTTTTCTGAAAGTTAATGCGCATCTGCCAAAGCCTTCACTATGTGCAAAAGCTGGTGAAGGAATCCTGAAGTGAGGCATGATCGCTACGAGAAGAAATTACTTGATATAAGACGCAGTCGTCGGCATAAAGACGGACCTCAGACTTCAAATTGTTCGGAAGGTCATTTATAAATATTAAATATAACAAAAGTCCTAGAACGGATTCGTGTGTGGAATACCCGAAGTTACATCGACAGTTGAGGACGAAGTGGAGTGAAATGACACATATTGAGATTGAGATTCAAGAAAGCTAGCTATCCAGTTGGTTAATCGAGGGTTGTTTAAAATAGCATCAATTTTACTTAGCAGCTTATTGTGTAAAACGGTGTCGAAGGCTTTGGGAAAGTCCATGAATAACGCGTCAATCTGATTGCCAATGTCAAGATTGCTGGATATGTCATGCGCAAATTCGACCAGTTGTGTTAGTGTGCTGAAACCGCGACGAAAGCTATGTCGAATGTTCGAGAGTAGGTTATTTGACTCAAGATATTCCGTTATATGATTGTGAATGACATGCTCAAGCAGTTTACCGGAATGTGAAGTAAGTGATGTCGGTCTGTAGTTTGGCAGGAGTTGCTTGTTACTAGACTTATGCAAGGGCAAGACTTAGGCTAGTTTCCAGGACTGGGGGACAGTGCTTGAAAATACGGATTTTCGAAAAATGATTGACAGATAACGTGCACACCACAGAGAGTATCGTACGAAAAAGCTGTTTGGAATGTCGTCGAGACCAGTGCACTTTTTTGTGTATAACCTAAGTATCATGTTAAGGATGCCGATCTCGTTAATCAAGACATCATCAATAGCGAGCTCATCGTATTGAGCGATTTCATAGTATAAGTTGTTTAGACGTGGCCCTAGCTACAAGGATCTGTGAACTTCTACATAAACGAGAATGTTTTCACAATTAGAACCTATTCAGGTGTAGGTACAGTGGGCGTGAAAGGTTTAGAAGAAGGTGGTATGAGAAAACCTTGAATTTAGTGGAGGTTTCTGAGAACATTTGTTTGAACTGCAGAATACATAGTCTTTGCCTGATTTTTACCGAGGCGGAAACTAAAATTTCTTTGACTGGCAAAGACGCGGTACTTATCAGCTTCCCGTGGTTTCTAAGAATTTTGCCGGTCTCGTGGTCCCTAAATTTTTGTAGGCGACTGCCAAACGAACAAGATGTGTGAATTCCCTTAGCAATCATTTATATATGAACCAATATTAAGCCGACTTCAGTTTGCGTAAACGCCCTATGGTCTCTCAATAGACGCCTTCTTTGATTTTTTGTGTTTGTTTTATTATACCATGCATAGCATTCGTCTATGTTAGCACCCGCATTTTCGAAAAAATGGGATACTTTTTAACATAAAAGAGGCAGCTTGGAATATGAAGTAGATGAAGTCCTATTACTGAATTTACAGGGCCAGAGCTTCTTTGTGCATATTTCACAGAATCACCGCTTCTTTATCAACAGTAAAAGACGACCGGGTTTCACTACTGAAACTCACTGTCTAGAAAAACAAAACAAAAATAAACTGGCGGAAACTCTTTCGTATATATGTACGTGGTTTACATTATGAAGAAAACTCTGTTACTAGCGTGACTGGTACAGATAATTTTGTGCAGCTCATTGCATATGATCCGCCACACACGGAGCATAGCTTGACTTTGTGGTTAACCGAAAAACCACTTGCCTGCGTTACGCAAAGCATGCAGCGATGACAGCTTACAACAGGATGCGACAGCACGGCTCCCTAAGGCGCTCGGCATTTAAAACAGAGGCAATGTGATTGCGGATTTCGTTAGGCTGCGCCAATGTGTAAAAATTATCCCTACATTGTAGCAAGGCTGATAATATCCAATAACGCTTGTGAAGAATGTGCTGAGCACAGAATTTACTCAATTGCGTACCACTAGAGGTTATCGGCTGTCGCACGTTGCCGACACGCTACTAAGATCAGCTTTCATTGGGGGGGGGGGGGGGTCAGTCATTGGTTGCGGCGTCAACTCCAGAGGCACCAGTCTCAGTGGCGTATAACCCTTGTCTAGCCTCGTTAATAGGGACTTGATTCGGAAGAAACGTCGGTGGCTGGCACCTACTGTGGACATGGGGAGGCGTCCGGTCACGTACTGCGAGCCACTAAGCCAAAAAGATGAATTTGCTGCTTGCCTAAAACAACAACAACCTGAAAAAAAACAGAAAAATATCAATTTCCCCACTACTACATAGCCTGGCCCTGTAAGCCTTGTCGAGTAGTTGACAAAAAGTGACACCCTTGTTCTAGTAGAAAAAAATGGCCTCGTATCTGCAAATTTATCATAAAATTTCGCCGAAAGCCGATAGTCTTGCGTGTGGAGAAAGTGAACAAAACATTTATTTGATGCTCTGCGCAAGAAAATCGGTGAATGGTATTCTGGAGACGCTGCGATAGAGTGCCTCGGGCATGCAGTGGAGGCGAACGAGCGCATCAAGTCACGTCACACTTGAGACATGAGCACCATCTGGCAGTTTTTTTTTTTTGAAAAATGAAGCGCGTGGCTGTGAGACGGGTGTGCGCGCCGGTCTCAGAGGTGATAAGGTGTAGAACGCAAGTCGACCGGTAGGTGCCACCACTATCTCGTATTAGCAAAGCGTTGGAAACACTCACCTTTTCGTGCAAGCGTTGCATGGTCTGCGGAGCGTGATACGCGCTGTGATCTTCAAAAAATTTTGTGTGTGCCTTTTCTTGTAAAAGACGCACATGCAGATTACATACATCTTGTTATGGTGCCCCAGACATGCACAATTGCTTTTTAATTGACAATTGCCCAAGTATCAATGGTAAACATTGAGCAACATTGTTGGGCGCGGCGGATGGGGTCAGCAGTTTGAAGTATCTGGTGCTGTTAAGAGTGGATAAGCAGACAAATGTCCAGACAGGCAGACAGACAGACAGACAGACATACAGACAGACAGACAGACAGACAGACAGACAGACAGACGAAAATTTTTGTGTCGAAGGTCCCCAAGAAATACTGTCATCTTTAAAAAAATGCGCCACGTTTTCCAAAGGCTGTGGCAGAGGCTCAACCTATGGCACGCATGCTTGAATTGACCAGAAAAATGAGAATCTCCCAGGGGTGGAACTACCTAGGAGAGCTTTAACTAAAACCGGCGCCCTACAATTGCACCTTTGCTTACCGGCGCATTTTGTAGCCTGCTATATGAGCCTTTGTTTCGCGTTATGAAGAGAATAGGCAACGGTCGTGGCCTGTTCGGACGAGTGGTATGGGGAGCTATTCAACTAAAATATACCAGCATGTACAATATTCAGGATGCTTTTTTTCTCTTTTTTTCAAAACGACATTGTACTTTTTTGGTTGCTAGCTGTGTCTAAATTTTTCGTGGTTAGTGACGCACGAGTTTGTGAACTTTGGTATTCTCCTGGTTTCACTTTGGGAATAAACAGTTGAACCATTGCCGAAGTGGTTTGTGCACCCCATTCTTTTAGAGGCGAATCGCAGGTCGCGAGTTGAAATCCTGGCTGTGGCTGCTGCAATTTCAATGGTGGCGAAGATGCTGTAGGCCCGTGTGCTCAAATTTTAGTGTACGTTAATAAACCCCAGGTGGTCGAAATTTCTCGAGTCCTCCACTACCGCGTCTTTCATAATCATATGGTACTTTTGGGACATCAAACCCAACATGTCAATCAATCTTTTAGGCGCGAAGCTATTTAAGCCGTGAGTGATGCAGATGTA